GTAGAAGTGATTCCTAACATCTCTCCTGAATGGTCTGGTGTAATTCTAAGACGATTCACCCTAGTTTGAGAATCCCTAACCAGTAGAAATAGTTTATCTTTATCCACCTTGTCTTTTCCTGTAAATATCTTGAACACTTCAATTAGATCACTCCTTAACCTTCTCAATTCTAGAGAAAGGACTCATTGTATCATCTCTCCTCATAACGTAACCCCTGGAGTCCAGGTATCATTCCTGTCAGTCTCCGTTGTTCTCCCTCCAAGGCCAATGTATCCTTCCTAAGGTGTGATGCCTGAATTTGTTCCCAGTATGCCAGTCGAACCAAGGTTTTGTATAACTGCATAATAACTTTTGCATCTTTATACGCTGGTCCTTTAGATATAAAAGTTAGCATTCCATTTGCTTTCTTAATTATTTTCTGCCCCTGCCTGTGGCTTTTTATAGATCTATGCGCCTGAACTTCCATAAATACAAGAAAGAGATTGAGTGCTTAACGGCATGGTGTAAAGACAACAATTTCTCCATCAACATCAGCAAAACAATGGAGCAAGCCATTGACTTCAGGAAGCAATGTGAGGGCACGCCCCTGTCTACATCAATGGTGCTGAGGTGGAGATGGTCGAGAGCATCAAGTTTCTAGGAGTGATGCGATAGTCAAGAAAACACAACAACGCCTCTACTTCCTCAGGATGCTAAGGAAATTTGGCATGTCCATAAAGACTCTTACCAACTTTTATCCATGCAGCATGGAAAGCATCCTATCTGGATGCATCACTGCTCGGTACGGCAACTGCTCCTCCCAAGACGGCAAGAAACTACAGAGAGTTGTGAACACAGCCCAGTCCATCACACAACCCAGCCTCCCATCCGCCTCGGGAAAGCAACCAACATAATCAAAGACTCCTCCCACCCCAGTTATGCTCTCTTCCACCCTCTCCTGTTGGACAGAAAATATAAAAGTTTGAAGACACGTACAAACAGATTCAAGAACAGCTTCTTCCCCACTGCTTTTGAGTGGACCTCTCAAAATCTAATTCTGATCTCTCTCTCTGCACCTTCTCTGCGGCTGTAACACTGTATTCTGTACTCTTTTCTGCTACGCTAATGCACTTTGTATGGCACGATCTGCCTGTATAGCATGCAAAACAACACTTTTCACTGTATCTTGGTACATGTGAAAACAATAACTCAATCAATCAAATCACTTTGGACATCCACAGTTATTAACTTCAAACTAAGTAGAAAGTACCCTGATCCATTCTTTTTCGGCCTGAAATAGATATCCTCACATTTGCTTATACTGAAATCCATCTACCATAGTTTTGCCCATTCACCTAGTCTATCAATATCACTTTGTAATTTTATGCTATCATCTATACTGTCTAAAATGCCATTTTACTTTGTGTCAAGTAGTACTTAGGGTCTGGAATGCACTGTCTGGAAATGTGGTGGAAGAAGGTTCAATTAAAGCATTCAAGAGGGACGTTGGATGGTTATTTGGATCAACATGGTGTACAGGGATATGGGGAAAAGGCAGCAGGTTGACACTGACACAGGAATGGTGGGCTGAATGGCCTCGTGCTGTAACAGTTCTGTGATTCTGTGATTTCCCGGTATGTTAGTACAGTTGCATGCATTTTAAAGTCAATTATTGTAATGTACAACTTGCCATGTTATGAAACGTTACTTATAAAACAGCAAGAGTCCGTGCAAAATGCAAGCCAGAGACACCACTGCCTGAGCATCATTCCAAAATTTTGTGCCATATTGTGGTCTGACAGGTCTAAATAAGTTCCATCATTATGTCTTGAACTTTATGTTCTCTATAGCTTGCCACAAAAACCTGTTTCCCATTAGATTTATCTGTGGCCTTTAGCAGTTGAGGCATTACTTTTAATGCCTTGAGCATTGAACATACCAAATCCCTTTACTCTGTCCTATCACTAGCTGTCTATTCAAAATATATTTTTGTGAATCAAAATGTATCACATCACATTTAGTGACATGGAATTTAATTGGCCAATTTATCAGCCATTCCAATAACTTATGAATCTAGATTAACTTTGTCCTCAGTATTATGTCTTCTTTCTCCGTCTTCCTTCTCCCATGTAATTTGGGGTCACTACAGTGCTGTCTGATCACTTCTCTATTTCCTTCCATCAGTCACCCATTCCATCATCCAAACCTGATACATTTAAGTCTTTCCCTGTTGCATCTTCCCATCAGGTCTTTGACCTTCCTCTTTTCCTCTTCTTCCTGGCATCTCCATCGTTTGCCGTGCTGAAATCCCCCCCTCTCTTTCTCTCGCTTTCTGTAACAGATGACTGTACCATTTCAGTCCCTTCTAGGCTACTTTCTTCAATCTCCACTCAAACCCCGGTGTGCTAGTTCCTGATGTTTTTGTCTTTTCCTGTCGCTCCACATATCCACCTCAGCATCAGCATCTCAATAGTAGGCCAGGTTGTTGTTTTGTTACACTGTCTATTTTAATATTGTCTGCAGATTTACATGCCACTCCCTCAAACCTGATATCCAATCCGTTTGAAATAGACAGTGAAGAGAACGGAACAGAATTCTGTGGAAAGCAGCTGCACACTTCTTTTTTTCTGAAGAAGGGTCCAGACCCGAAATGTCAGCTTTCCTGCTCCCCTGATGCTGCCTGGCCTGCTGTGTTCATCCAGCTCTACACCTTGTTATCTCAGATCCTCCAGCATCAGCAGTTCCCACTATCTCTCTGCACACTTCTATACCTGTCCTCTGTTTCCGTCCATCTAACCAGTTTTTAAATTCAACTTGCTAACCTTCTACACTCATTAATCTTCTCCAATAGTCTTCCAGCTGGCACCTAGCCAGAGGTTTTCTGAAAGTTCACATACACCACAGTGGTATTTTCCCGAGTCATCGCATCACCTCCTCAAAAGCCCCGGTGTGAATTCCAGCATAATCTTCATTTTTTAAAGAAAAGTTTCCACTCCTGTTCAATGTATACATTCTTCCTGTTTTATCAATTTTTTGGTCACCTTCTGCTGATTGTTAGAACACAGAACATAGAACAGTACAGCACAGTACAGGCCCTTCGGCCCACGACGTTGTGCCGAACTTTTACCCTAATCCTAAGGTCTATCTAACCTCCACCCCTACCTTACACTATCATCCATATGCCTATCTAATAGTCGCTTAAATGCCCCAAATGATGCTGACTCCATGACCCTCTCTGGCAATGCATTCCACATCCCGACCACTCTCTGAGTAAAGAACCTACCTCTAATGTCTTCCCTATATCTACCTCCACTCACTTTAAAACTATGCCCCCTTGTAATAGCTACTTCCACCCTAGGAAAAATCTCTGGCTGTCCACTCTGTCTATACCTCTGATCATTTTGTACACCTCTATCGAGTCAAATTCATGACTTGATTTGAAAAATTTTAAAATTCATCCAGATCTCAAGTTTCTTATTATCTCTTGCAACTTCCATAGTAAGTCATGGATAGGTCTTTGTCACTGAATATTTGTTTTTTTTAGTCTAATTTATTCTCATTTTCCTTCATTTATTTACTGCTACACCCTATAGTCAGACTAATGAAATAGAACTGCTCACATGTTTTGCTTTTAGTCTGACAAATCCATTTTAATCAGAATTATTATGGATCATTTAACAGCACCATGTATAGATATGTAATGAACTGGAGGCTGAAGTAATTGATAGTAAGCTCATAAACACAAGCTCTGAAGTTAGGACGTGTATCCCAGACTTTACAGATTTTTCAACCGAATGCATATCATTGATGCAACGGTTTTTTGTTCCATTAGTGACTTTATAATTAATGAAGCATTTAAATAAGTTTTGCGTGTGAATGTTAGTTGTTCGAGGTGTTCAGTACATGCGCTCAGGCATTCTAATGCACATTCAGCCAAAAACTTAGTGTAGGTGGCTTCAGATTTGCAGCATACACCTGGGATCAGATACTGATTAACCTGGCAAGGGAACCCAGCTGAGCGTGATGTACTTGAGAAAACTGTTTCACCCCTGTTCACCTCAGTGTCAGTGTGCACTTTCTTGATGATAACTGAAACACATCTGCAGTTAACTACTCAGCAATTGTCTGCTTACTTAAAATTATGCACCACGCTATGTATGCAGCTCTTTGCCTCAGTACCTACTTGAATAGTTAGATTATAAAGTCTGCAATTCTGAACCTTGTGGATCTTGTGGGCTGAATGTTCTCCTTCTGCAGCATAACACTTCTGTGATCCCTGCCCCCACGATTGGCAGTTGTACCTTTAAGTTATTTGACCCTAAGCTCACCCCCACCGCCAGCCCCCCAAACTTTCTGCCTATCTACAATGTTCATCTCCTTTGTAACCTTACTTAAAACCCACCTCTTCCACAACTCCTTAATCTTCTCCTTTGACCAAGTGCCAACCTTTAGCTGATTGCATTTCTGTGTGAAATGCATTGGGCTGCCTTTTGTACATTGGCAAGACTACAGAAGTGAACAGTTGCTGACAGCATTAACAAAATGGTTGAGTTGAAGAGGAAATTGCGGATTCTTGTCTCTGAGTCTGCTCCTTCCAACTCTGTGACAGTTCATGTACATCTTCCCATGTCACATGATCAAAATAAGTGACACTTGACCAGTATAAAATGCAATTAAGATGATGAGCAAACAATTGTTTCTCAACCTATATAGTGCTGATTTGTATCAACTGAATCAATGTCTACTTTTGCCCTATCCTTAAATAGATTCCATATTCTGGTTATTTTGAATATTTTGTACTTATTCCGGTTTGCAACTTAGTATTTATTTTGGTAATAAATACCATATGGACTATTCTTCTTACAAATCATCAGTGGCAAAAATATCAATGTTTAATATACTTGACATCTTTAAAAACCCTTCCACCTCTGAATAATTTCCCTACATTCATGTTGTTCAGATTCACTCAGTGTGTTGCTTGGCAAAAATAATAATTTCTTTTTCTCATCCGTCCTCTATAGGAAAGTGTTAAAGGAGATATCTGTCGGAGATCTGGAACCAAATGATACTGTCCAGGCCAATTTAGAGGCACAGCTGTTGTCTAAGCTTGACCATCCAGCAATTGTTAAGTTCTACAACAGCTTTGTGGAGCAGTGTAGCTTCTGCATCATTACCGAGTACTGTGAGGTATGTAATTGATGGAGCGGTGGACTGAACATAATTCTGATCTCGTCAATTTGTTGAGTTTGATCTTACTTAGAAAATTGTTTGTTTCACATTTAGAACATAGAACAGTACAGCACAGTACAGGCCCTTCGGCCCACAATGTTGTGCCGAACTTTTACCCTAATCCTAGGGTCTATCTAACCTCCACCCCTACCTTATACTATCATCCATATGCCTATCTAATAGTCGCTTAAATGCCCCTAATGAGGCCGACTCTACTACCCTCTCCGGCAATGCATTTCATGCCCCGACCACTCTCTGAGTAAAGAACCTACCTCTGACGTCTCCCCTATATCTACCTCCACTCACTTTAAAACTATGCCCCCTCATAATAGCTACCTCCACCCTAGGAAAAAGTCTCTGGCTGTCTACTCTATCTATACCTCTGATAATTTTGTACACCTCTATCAAGTCACCTCTCATCCTTCGTCATTCTAAAGAGAAAAGCCCTAGCTGTCTCAACCTTTCCTCGTAAGACCTTCCCTCCATTCCAGGCAACATCCTGGTAAATCTCCTCTGCACCTTTTCCAATGCTTCCACATCTTTTCTGTAATGAGGCGACCAGAACTGGACACAATACTCCAGATGTGGCCGAACCAGGCTTTTGTATAGCTGGAGCATAATTTCACAGCTCTTGAACTCAATCCCTCTATTAATGAAAGCTAACACACCACTCGCCTTCTTAATAACTCTATCCACCTGGGTGGCAGCTTTCAGGGAACTGTGAACATGAACCCCAAGATCCCTCTGCTCCTCCACGCTGCCAAGAAGCTTTCCGTTAACCCTGTATTCTGCTTTCAAGTTTGTCCTTACAAAATGAATCACCTAATTTAAAATGGTATATTCTGCATGCGGCTTTGTACAGATACTCATTGCAGTCTCTGACACAAACTGCATTCTGTGCCCATTGTTCCCATCCCTGGTATCTATCTTAAGCCGAGCAAGAAGACTACTGTCTACTTTAATGTTGTGTTTGACCCGGAGTTAACTTTGGAACGACACATCTGTTATAACAATAATGGTTCTGACAGGGTTAATGTTGGAAACTGATTAAAATGTTTGAGTTGAAGAGAAATTTGGGGATTCTTGCCTCTGAGAGCACTCCTTTCAACTTTGTGACATGTACATCTTACATGGTTACTAACATGCAATAAACTATATCTTGTTTAGGATATAAGCCTGTTCTTGTTAAGGCACACTTGGTATCAGCAAACTAGACCATTTGCCACCTTCCAGTGGTTGATATCACAACAGATATACAATAACACTCGTGCCAAGACTGCTTATTTCCATCTCCATAACATCACTTAACACTGTCAGAAGTCACAGGACACCTGGTTATAGTCCAACATAGTCCATTTGAAATCACAAGCTATCGAAGCGCTGCTCCTTCGTCAGGTGAAGTGAAGGGGCAGTGCTTGTGATTTCAAATAGGCCTGTTGGACTATAACCTGGTGCATTGTGACTTCTGACCTTGTCCATCCCAGTCCAACACCGGCACCTCCATATCATCACTCGACACTTCTTTTGTTCATCTATTGCTAAAATTGTCATCTGTGTCCTTGCTGCTTCTAGATTTGACTATTCCAATACTCTCTCAGCCAAATCAAAACTTCCACTCTATGTAAACCCAAAACTCTGCCCCCCATACCTGACCTTGCTCCAAATCTCTTTCATTTGTCTTATTCACCCTCCCCTTCAAACTCCATTTTAATTTAGTCCGCTTCCTCTCTCTGTACTATTCCTTCAGCTGCGTACGTGTCATTGCGCTGCCCCTGATGGGCTTTGTATGCAAATTGTAATTGATTTAGGAACATGGGTGATTTAGGTGAAGGATAAAGGTAAAAATTACACGGGTGATTTCATGGTGGTGCTTTATGTGCACAAAAAGTGCTCAGAGTTGTGAAAAAGCAACTCTGGATGGAAAAAAGAAAAAAAAAGAAACTGGCTTCAGTCTACGACAGTAGCAGTCTGGAGATGCCAGATCACAGAAGCTAAGCAGCCTCAGGCCTGTTTCTTACTTGGCTGGGAATGCCAGGTGCAGCAGTCTTTGGGTTCTTGTGGTGCAGTGGTAGTGACTCTACCTCTAGACCCTGAAGCTTGAGTTTTTCAGAGGTGTGTATTAATAGCTCTGAACAAGTTGTTTAGAACATACCTTAAGAGGTGGGCTCATGGGGAGTGTGGTAGTGTTCGTATCTCTGGGCTAGAAGGTCTGGGTTCAAATTCTACTTGCCCCAGATGTGTGTCATATTGTGTCTCAACAGGCTGATGTTTTATGTTAAGCAGAGAGTTGGTTTCTTTCCTCATCTTATTGATTTTTGCATTGTCACATTGCCCCTGGTAGACAGTGCCCATAATTCGGGTGATTAGATAAATTGGTGATGGGGGTTTAAAATGAAAGAAAAGCTGTTTGTTTTCCCTAGTAGGGTCAGTTTGGAGAGGGGAAGGGGTCAGAAGGGAAAGATGGAAACTGATGTTTATGCTAAACTATAAATTTACAATAAAGCCATTGTAAATCATTTGATGTCTAATTCAACATATGGATGTCAGTTGGTTAAACACCATGAGTTATTGGTTTATCTGAAATTGCTTGAGACAAACTTTTAATCAAGGAATGGGGAAAAGGCAGGAAAGTGGACTTGAGGGTTATCAGACCAGCAGTGATCTCATTGAGTGGTGGAGCAGATCCGATGGGCTGAATGGCCTACTTCTCTTCCCAGGCTTTAAAATCTTAATCAGCATGTGGTTCCAAGTCCCAATGTTGCTGCATCTTCTTTTGTTTGTGAATATATCAGTTCTTTCCACAATACTAAGATCTGTTTACTCTCTCTGCCCACAGGGCTACATAAAAACAGAGAAAATGAGTGCAGGAGTAGGCTATTCGGCCATTTGAGCCTGTACCACATTCAATATGATCATGGCTGATCATGCAATCTCAGTGTCCCATTCCCGCTTTCTCTCCATTCTCCTTGATCCCTTTAGCTGCAAGGGCCACATCCAGCTTGCTCTTGATTTTTTTTCTAAGAAACTAGCCCTAACACCTTCTTGTGGGAGAGAATTCCACAGGTTCACAACTCTCTGAGTGAAGAAATTCTTCTTCATCTCAGTTCTGAATCGTTTACCCATTATTCTTAGACTGTGACCCCTAGTTATGGACTTCCCCAACATCGGGAACATTCTTCCCGCATCTAGCCTGTCCAGTCCCATCAGGATTTTGTACGTTTCTATGAGATTCCTCCCTCTTTCTTCTAAATTCCATCGAGTACAAGCCCAGTCGATACAGTCTTTCCTCATAAGTCAGGTCTAGCCAACAGAAGTTTGGACGTTAAGAGAATCAAAAGAAGCAATGGGGAAGTAGAGTAGATGGAGAAGTTCAACCATGAGTGTAACAAATGGTGAAGCAGGCCCGAGCAGTCTACGTCGGACCTGTTCTTGGGATGACGTGTCTCATTCACGCAGCAAATAATTATTGGGCTCAGTGACCAGTGAAATCTGTTGTATATGAGGTTTTGTTGCCCCAAAATTCAATCACCTTTACAGTCTAATGAGTGATTGCATTTCATCACACTAGAATGATTTTTTTTTCATTTCATTGCTTTGTCTTTCACACTGATCACCTGGTATTCAGTAATTATGTAAAGGCAGGCAATTTTCACAGTAAATAAATGGGAAGATTGTTAAGTGCAGTGAGATCTGTTTTGCTTCCCAGTGAGGTTAATGCAAAGAGTCAAGTAATGCTATTCCTACACCATCCTAACCCCCAAAATACGAAGATCAACATCATTGATTTGTCATGATTAATATCCTACAAGAATTTCTTCAATGCCACTTTGGAATGTCCATATTAACAAGTTCTGCCTTTGACTGTGTCTGTACCATGTTTTTAGGGATAGCCAGAACCAACAAGATTTATCATCAATAAACTTTTTGAACTTGGCTGTGATGAGGTTCTGTGAAGTTTGAATTGGATGAGCTGGGATGGCTGTACGCCATTCCCTGTGGAGACTGAAATATAATTCCATCTTTCTTGGCACTCAGGCATATGTCATTTACACCTACATTCGGGTAATAGCCAGAGAGTGACAAAGGCTGAGTTAGTTCCTGCACACGGGTCTTAGCCAAATCCAATCCACCATCTGTTTAGAATAAGGACATTGTGTCTTCTCATGAAATGTTTTAGGGCTCTACATCTCAGTAATTCCCAGCATCAGCAGCTCAAATGAACTATTGCTGGTTGCCTTCGTTTCGATGGTTTGCGACTAGTGATCAGCATCGCTTGGTGTCTCTACAGAAGCAGACAGTGGGTTCACAGATCTCTATTTTCTCTTCTTGATCGACTGATTCTGGACTCCACTCCTGTAAAGTTTGGCTGTAAATTTAGACCACTCACACTCCCTCACTCTCTCACACACTGTCACACTCTCTCACTCTCTCACACACTGTCACACTCCCTCACTCTCACACACTGTCAC